TAATTAATTGCATGTTAATCTTTACGATAATGAGCAATGATTATTTTTAACTTTTGCTTGTCCTTTCCTGTCAAACCAATCAAAATGTCAAATTATCATTTTTGGCAGCAATTGCGAGTGAGCCAGAAATGAGCGACAAAAGTTTTTCTTTCATTTTGTTTGTTCCATTATTCAGGCTCGACACAGTTGCAGTATTAATGTTCAACTACTTGACCACTGGCATGTACTCTGCTAATCGGTGTGATAATCCATGTAAGCCATGATGATGATGAGAGAGGAAAATGGACAAAAATGAAAACAAAGGTAAAAGTGGAGATCAGAAGAAACTTGGACGACAGAAATGGAGAAACTGCTTTTTTCCTCTAGTTAAGCATCTTGAGCTGTTCACCTCTTTATCATGAGCAGGGCAGTTTTTTGTCTACTCTTTAGGTCAGGTAAACTTTACTGTAAATAAAAAAAGTATTTTTTTCCCTTCTCTTACAGATTAACGAAACAAACAACTCAGGTAAGCAATAAAATGGACTAATCCTTTGAGCAACAGAAGAGAGCAAAAAATGACCTCAAGGCATGGGCTTAGGTCAACCTGGATTAGAATCATCTGTGCGACAGTTTTTTTCAAGTTAACTTTTTGTTTTTACCTTTACATCAGCAACAAAATTAGTCTAAAAAGTAGAGTAAAGTTAACACAAGGTTCATTTCAAAGCATGTTATTCTTGGACTTTACAAAGCTGCAAAGCTGGACATGAAGCCGTTGACTGAAAATGACCCTTTCAAAAACAAGGTTTTCATTGGCAGAATGAATATCAAGTGAAAAGGCAGAAAAGTTAGATTGTAATCGAGCCGACGAAAAGAGAGCTGAAGAGGAAAAAAAGAGGAAAATGATTTTGATGATAATAAATTTAGTTAATAGATTGGGCTCAATTAGGGTAGAAACCCAGTGTTAAATTGATGGTTTGATTAGAGGTTGAATGTGAAGAGTAAAAATGGGCTCAAATCTCACAACTGGGAGTGAAATTGTATTAATGATGATAATAATAATAATAATGGTTCGATTGGCTTATAAATAAAAGTTGATTGGGCAATTGTTTTACTCAATTACACTACTTAAATACTATTTGATTAAATGAATCAAGTTAAATCAGTGTGTGTGTGGGTTTGGTGTTATTGTCAATTAAATGTATAAACATTTATTTACCAATTTTCCTCTTCTTCTCATCCTTTTCCAATTGTACCTTTTTATGCCTTTCATCGCACTGAGGTTGAGGGTTGATTTTGTTTGCTTATCTCAGGTCATTTTATGTTCATGTTTACTACCTTTTATGTTGCTCTTGTTTTTGCTGCTAAAGTTAAAGATTAGTCAATGGAAAAGCGATAAAAAGAAATGAGAAAAGTTGATGATTATTCAATTAACCAAATGGTCAAGATTGCCCAGCCTTTTACCACCCCTTGAATACTTCTGATTAATGTAATTTTACCTTTTTTTTATTGCAAATCATTGCGATTTAATGGCCATTTAAAATGATGATTAATCTTGATGAGTGGTAACAAAATTGAGAGATGAGAGGAAAAGAAGAAGAAGAAGAAGAAACGAGAAAAGTTTTGCAAATGTTAATTGACGCAATTTTAAGGTTCGCAATTTGCTCACCTTGATTGTAATACAATGGTGCATATTTGTTTACTGCACTTGAACGATGGATTGCTTGAAAATTGTTCAACATTTAAAATTGTTTTTCTCATCAACTTTATCAACTTGTGATACAATTTGCTCAATCATGTACTCATGTGGGTTGTTGATCACAAGTTTGACAGCCAATAATCCAATTGTTTACTTTCAACAATCGCTGCAAATTATCAAAATAATCAAATTGGTTAACCTTGAAAAGTTGAATATTTGTTGACCAATTTTAATCATGAAAAGTTTTTGCTTCCATTGTTTGCTCAGTAATTAACTGTACCAGTCAAATGGATATTAAACGATTCTCATGTTTGCAATCAACATCAACGTTTACTTCAACAGGCGGACCTTGACTGATAGTTTTTACTTGCGATACATTCAAAAGACTGGAATGAAATAAAACATCATTAACATGTAAAATGGGAAAAAATTACACATTTAAACAATATCATACTTTAGTATAAGTAGTCTTATTTTAATGTACTTTGCGCATTGTTTGATAACCAAGTTAATTGATCAACATTTTTGACCAAAACAATTGTTTTAATTATGCCAAATATACCAGAATTTGAATTTGAACAATTATTTTTAATATTTTATCGAGTAAACGTCTTTGCAATTACCATGTCAAGCCTCGTGAATTAACTGTTTTAATTGGAAATGAATTAATCGATATATTATTAAATCGATCGTTTATAGTTGCAGTTGGCTATGAAATGATTGTGATATTTTTATGGTTGAAACATTAGTTAGCCTTAATTAATCAGTTTGATAGAAAAACAAAATCAAAGTAGGACGAATATTCACAAAATTATTGTCTTTTTATAGCTCTGAAAAGGGTAGAAAAATCGCCAAAACTTTTTGTTCTAACAAGTTTTTTATCAAACAAGATTAACAATATTTCTAACCTCGGATTCTGAGTGCTTGCCAATTTATCCTAAGAACCTGATCTCATCTCTATGAACCTCAATCTATCTTAATTTTTGGAAATTTCATTCAAAGAAGAGAATGGAACCCAGGAACGGAAAACATTTGTCGATTTGTTTGACAGCTATTGACAGGCGATCACAGAAACGGTATCAACTGTTCGATGGGAAAAATTGCAACATTATAGCAACACCGAAGGTGCTTACTTCGATTTACCAAAATTTCAGTCAATTTCAGCTAAACTTCATAACCGCAAAATATGTTTGACAAGCTGTAGCTTTCTCGCGCTCAGGTTTCTGAGAAGATCACGTTCAGAACATATAACTCTATTGGTCGCTTTTACATGGAATTTCTCGAGAGCGGACAATAACCTTGGTCAAATTTTTAGTAATAGTTCATGTTCTAAACTATATTCATGTGTAATTGCTTCATGATTGGTGGGGTGGTTCTGTTGCAAGTTTATCCCAGAAATGTATCAAAATTCATTAACATGCTGCAACAATAAACTTTGAAAGTTGCAAGAAAAACATGGAAATCAATTTGAAAAGAGTGAATGCGAAATTGCAACCTTGCAAATAACTTTTAATTCAAATGAAAAGGTAAAAAAGCAAGAGAAAAGTTCTCACCATGAACCTCCTTTTCTTCTCTTCATCCGCCTCCACAAACATTCTCATCACCACCATCGACTTGAGATGAAGAAGAAAAGGTAAAAAGCTATTATTTTAATCAACTTTAAGAGACACTTAAGTTTACCTTTTGCTGCCTTCTTGGCTTAATATTGATACAGTAAATGACATTGAAGAGACGGACGTTTAATGATGTTTCAAAACTTGATCGCTACTCTTACAATCATTTTTCTTGACGTTCCGTTTTTCATCTTCAAACCACTTCACAAATGATACAAGAAGAGGTAAGAAGAAAAAAAATGAGCGAATAAGAATGTAAGAATAAGGTTACTTCTTCATCATCATCATCATCATCAGGAGCTTCTTGATAGTAAAGGTAATTTTGATTGTTTGTTTGAAAGAAATTTTTCTGTTGTTGATGTTGATGATGATGATGATGAATAGAAACATGTAGACTATCATTAAAATTGACTTACCAGAAGAAGAAAAAAGAACAACAAGAAAAAAGAAAAGATGTTCATCTTGAGTATTATATCGATTTGACCTTTCGCCATCTCATCTGATTCACCCTCCCACCTCACCTTTATACCTTTACTCAATTGTCATTATATTTAGCTTCAAACTTATTCCTTACCCTGCAAGAGTATATTATTAAAAATGCAATTCTCATATTAAAAATTTAATCAAATCATTATTATTATTGACATCAATAGTCTTTATTATCTCCTGTTTTTTTTTGCTTCATTGTTATTATTTTTCGACTCTTTTTCTTGCTCTCTTTTGGTTGATAAAGATGAATAGATTTGCTTTTCTCGAATGCAAATCAATAAAATTTAATTGTTTATTGCATTCATATTTTTGTTTATTTGTTTTTTATTGCCTTTACCCACTCTTCACAAATGCACCATGTAATTTCATATTGATCAATGTTCAACTTGAAGTTGAAAAGTTTTTTACCTTTTTTCAGAAGCAAATTACATTGATTTGATTCACATTTTCGTGACTAGTTGAACGAGCAAGGAATCAAGAAAAAGGTAAAAATACGATTAAATAATCTTCTGTCCTATCTTGAGTTTCGTTACATGATAAAAGTTGATTCCTAGTTGGCTAGATTGAGATGAGATTTTATGCACGAAGACGAAGGCCGTAGCATCAACTATTAGACTATGAGAGGAGTCACATGGGACGCTTTACAACTGCCATCTATTGAAGAGAAAATCGTTTTTTCTCGGATTCTAGCAACTGTCAAGCAATTCATCTTGTATGCAAATATGTCAACTTTGCCAAAAGGCCATTTGTCAAAACTCAATTGATGAGCATAATTTTTTTAACTTTAATTCAATCAACTGTAAATTGGCCAACCATTTTGATCATTAGATAGTGACCATTGGAATGATAGGTAAAAAGCTAGTAAAGAAGCTACAGGATGTTACAAGGCAAACAAACAATTCCGACAACACAGACGATGAAGCTCGAATCATCAATCATTATTTAAACCTTTTAGCCTTTACCTAGCTCTTTACCTTTTACCTGAGTTGGTGAGTTATTCCTCATTGTTTTTCCAGTCTTTCAGTAAATATTGCTCTAATTGCATCTTAAACTGTGCTAACATTTTGGTTAACCAATTATCCTGGATAATTTTTTCAAACATTTCACAGTTTCACAAATCGATATCTTAGCACACCGAAAAAACTTTTGGCCTCGAAATCCGGTCGAGAAGGCTCGGGAAAAGTGTTTTTTGAAAGCGAGAAGAAGAGAGAAACAAAATGAAGTAATAACTCAACTGTTTTTTATTTTGTTATATTAATACAATGGTGAAGTGGTGAATGAAAATGAAAATGAATCAGACTGAGTCTGAAGTTGCTGTGTCCACTATGGACCAGATCTTTGGCTTTTGAATGGGATTGGGAATGATGGGATGAGGTTGATTAAGAGTAGAGTTATTGGCTGATGAAGGCGGTGAAGATGAAGATAAAGCTGATGAAGGTGATGATGATGTTGTTGACCTATGATTCGAACTGAACGGTGTTTCAATGATTTCATCTTCATCACACCTATTCCTGGGTGACCAGGTCATTTTGTTTTCTTTTTTAAGTCTCCGTCTTGCATTAGCAAACCATGTAGACACTTGGGTTAGCGTCATTTGAGTCATAATGGCCAACATTATTTTCTCCGCTTTAGTTGGATATGGATTTTTCCTGTGCTCATTTAACCAAGCCTTAAGTGTTGAGGTTGTTTCACGTGTAGCATTTTTACGGCGCGACCCGTTAAAGTCAATCCCTCGAAACATTGCATAATCACAATACATTTGAGGTCGAGTCCGAAAACTGGACGACCTCCAAGCCTCAATTCCACCTGGAAAATCAAATCCAGCCGGTGAATGTGAGTAAAATAACTCTGATCCCAGGGAGGGTATAAAGGGTAATGCACTCAGGCTGCTACTACAATCAGTAGCCACACAATTATCACTTTTATTATTGTCACCATTGTTATTCACATTGTTATTTGAACTACTATTACTGATGCAGTTGGGATCCATTTGAAAGTTCATGATGAAAGATGAAGGGAAAGGATGACGATGGTTGTCTTGTTATATATTAATGTAATATATATATATATATATATTTGTGTTTTTATATGTTTTTATAAATAAGTATACATGTAAATAGCAACAAAAAACAACATGCACAAACAAAACCAAGTTTTATGTTTACGTTTCTAAACATGAATGACAATGTTTTTACATTTACAAAACCTCACCAATCGCTGTTTCGGAGGCGGCAACTTAACGGAGGTTCAACTTGATGCGCAACTCTCTAAGGTTCAACTCTCACTCGATCCACCCTTCCATGTCTCTCTCTTCATCCGTCTATCTTCATCTTTATCTTCTTCTCTCTTTTTCTCGTTTTCTCTCTCTTCTTCTTCTCCTTCTCCTTCTCCTTCTTTCCTTCATCTTCCTCTTCTCACTTTGCATAACTTTGATTGTGACTATTGGATTGGAGCATCGGTGTGTTTTTGAGCATCGATTTGTGAATCCGTGAAAGTTTAATTATCCAAGATAATTGGTTAACCAAATGTTAGCACAGTTTAAGATGCAATTAGAGCAATATTTACTGAAAGACTGGAAAAACAATGAGGAATAACTCACCAACTCAGGTAAAAGGTAAAGAGCTATAAGCGCAGTAGGCTAAAAGGTTTAAATAATGATTGATGATTCGAGCTTCATCGTCTGTGTTGTCGGAATTGTTTGTTTGCCTTGTAACATCCTGTAGCTTCTTTACTAGCTTTTTACCTATCATTCCAATGGTCACTATCTAATGACCAAAATGGTTGGCCAATTTACAGTTGATTGAATTAAAGTTAAAAAAATTATGCTCATCAATTGAGTTTTGACAAATGGCTTTTTGGCAAACTTGACATATTTGCATAAAAGATGAATTGCTACTGATATAGCAACAAATGTTCATTGGTCAAGATTCAATATCTTTTTTACCTTTCTTTGGATCCTCTTTTTTTCTCGAGGTAAAAGTTTACTGTTTCAAGGGTTACAGGTTGACCAATTTGTGTCACTTTAGGTAAAAGTCACAAGTTTACTGATCCATAGAGTGGACTGATAAATTAGTATAAAACAGTTTTTAATCTTGAATCTTGTTTCTTACCCTCAGTTGAAACGTTTGTGATTAAAGCACAGGAGTGAAGCGTTAATCCCAATACAAGTGGGTAAACATTATTTGTTTATAAGTCAACTTAACATCATTTTTTTCCGATGAATAATGATAAGACCATGTTGATCATGTTGACGTTGATCATCATCATTCTCATCATTCGGCTTCACCATTTTGATGAAAGAAAGATCGAGTTTGATAGAAAAAGATAGTCGTTAAGTGTTTAGTTGAGATGCCACTTGAATGGGAAAATCAATTAAAGGCGATAATCTGCCAAACTAAAAGGCAATTACAAGCAATAATCTCAGTTATCATGATATTGAGTAAATTACAATTTTAATGATAAAATAAACAAATTAAAGGTAACATCAAAGACTTGTCTGCTTTTTACTATCACAGCAAACAAATGTACATTTAATTATACTAGAGGCTGCTGTGATCATAACTGATCCCAAGTTTCCTTACACTGAGTACAATAAATGAACATTGAAAATAATCAAGTTTTTCATCGTCAATGAAAACTAAAAATAAATTCTGGTTCTACAACTGAATGAAATCCAAGTTTGAACCTTGAAAGTGATTTAACCAAAGAGCTTCGATCAGAAGACAATTCTGAAAGACACAAAAAGGATCTCTAAAAGTCCATCAGGTCGCAACTCTCAACTCGCAAGTAAAATGAGTTAAATTGACGTAAAAATTCGTGAGACTTGGAGCTATCGACAAAAACTGAGAAAATAATGTTGACCATTGCAGTATTTCTTGGTGATTTTAGTCGAGTTTTCATTAGGTTCAGTCAAGGGCAAGTTACCTGAAGATTTTTCGTCATTAGCTCCAGTCTGTTGTCTTAAGGTTTAGTCAAGTTTTCAAAAGGATTAGTTAAAGCCCTTGTTTACAATTTAGAGAACAATTTAAATTACGAAAAGATTGAAAATAAACATTTGAACTAGCAATAATTTTTCAGGTAGAAACCAATTTTGCTAATTATTGCTAGTTGAAAAAGAGACTTCTAAATTGTGTAAGAGACTTCTAAATTGTGTCCAACAAGAGAAAAGGTTTTGACTAATCCTTTTGAAAACTCGACTAAAATCACCGAGCAATGCTGACTCGTATGACCCTGACCCAAGAGTCTACGTGGTAATGCAAGACGGAGAATTAAGGAAGAAAACAAAATGACCTGGTCACCAAGGAACAGGTGTGGTAAAGATGAAATCATTGAAACACCGTTCAGTTCGAATCATAGGTCAACAACATCATCATCACCTTCATCAGCTTTATCTTCATCTTCACCGCCTTCATCAGCCAATAACTCTACTCTTAATCAACCTCATCCCATCATTCCCAATCCCATTCAAAAGCCAAAGATCTGGTCCATAGTGGACACAGCAACTTCAGACTCAGTCTGATTCATTTTCATTTTCATTCACCACTTCACCATTGTATTAATATAACAAAATAAAAAACAGTTGAGTTATTACTTCATTTTGTTTCTCTCTTCTTCTCGCTTTCAAATAACACTTTTCCCGAGCCTTCTCGACCGGATTTCGAGGCCAAAAGTTTTTTCGGTGTGCTAAGATATCGATTTGTGAAACTGTGAAATGTTTGAAAAATTATCCAGGATAATTGGTTAACCAAAATGTTAGCACAGTTTAAGATGCAATTAGAGCAATATTTACTGAAAGACTGGAAAACAATGAGGAATAACTCACCAACTCAGGTAAAAGGTAAAGAGCTAGGTAAAGGCTAAAAGGTTTAAATAATGATTGATGATTCGAGCTTCATCGTCTGTGTTGTCGGAATTGTAGCTGTAGCTTCTTTACTAGCTTTTTACCTATCATTCCAATGGTCACTATCTAATGACCAAAAATCTGTTCCATAGTGGACACAACAGCTTCAGATTCATTCTGACAACTTTTTCATTTTCACTTTTCACCAGAAAGTCTACAGTTGAGTTGAGAGTTGCTATTTAGTTGATTTTAGGAATATAAAACTAAATCCGTTTGGACATTTAAAAGCGTGTCTGAAGTTTCTTCGTGGTTAAAATTCAGTTGTTCGAAACTTTGCATTCTTTGCTAAAATTGACTTGACCAGACTTTTCACCAAACTCATTAGTGTCTTTAGTCTTTACTCGAAAGGCTTACAAGACTTACGTTAGTCCTAAATGTAAACAACAATAAACCATCAAAAGCAAAACAATTTTACACCTGAAATGGTAGAAGATACAGATTCTGCACTTTCCTCACTCTGTTTAAATTTAAGTCTTCTCAGTAACCTGAGCCCTGATTAAATTATGAATGAGTAATTGTGCTTTAATCATGAAGGCAATGTTAAAATTTTGTTTAGAACCCGCTCAGTTGGTCCAAAATTTTGGAAAAAAAATTTCATGGTTTGACTTTATATTGTATTTATAGATGGCAAGAAGTCATCAGAGGAGATCATCAGATGTTGGCCACCAAGAAGTCATCATCATTCTAATCATTTCTTTGAATTTATTTTAATGTTTCAGTTTAACAGGCCTTTGCAAAGGCTCAGCGTGAATCTCATCTTCATAGTGTCACGATGAACAGCCAAAGCGATCAATCAAAATCCAATATTATCCTCATTCCTTCTCATCATCTTTTTTCGCCCTTCACGGTATCTTGCAACTTCACCAAGCTTTTAAGCTTTTAAGAAACAATTTTTACCTTTTAATGAGTACCATTGGGAGTTAATATACATTTTTTGCTTACCTTTATCTCAAATAGACAATTGATGAGCGCAGTTTTTGTTTCACGATGAAAGAGGTAAGCGAAAGAGTTAATGGGAGGAGATTTGAAACTGTTACAATCATTATCGTTTTCAATGGAACCACCTTTTCATATGAACAAAAACCAGCATTCAAATTAGTAAAACCGGCTGACTGTAAAGCCACACAGTTTTTCATGACAACAACAACCAGCTTTAAAATGACCAAAAACTCATAAGACAAAAACTGCCGAGTTAAATAGTTACTCTATTCAAAGTATGTAAAGAGCAGGTCATTACTGAAAAGACACAATTAACACAATTGTCACATTTATGCACAAATTGACACAAATTGACGCTAATGGCCAAAAAACGGCCAAAAATTCATTTCATTCAAATTACGACTCCATTGTGGTTCCATTTGCGATTTCAAAATTTCTCTCAATTTTTCCAGAAAATCGAACAAAAAGTTTCACCTCGAAACAAGAATCAGATCTTTTCATCAAATTCATTTTTTTCTGGTGCAACTGGTAAAACAATTCAGAAGAGATGAAAATGGAAAAATGAAATTTTCTCATTCGAGTCTTTCGATTCAATCTGAATTGATGAAACCGTAAAATTGACAGAATTTTTGTCTCATGAAAGTGAGCTTGGGTCGTTTGCTTCTAGTTTTTGTTGATTGAAAGTTGGTTGAAACGAGATTGTAATGTCTCAAGTGTTGATTTTGATCAAATCTGGCTGACAATCATCTTCATCATCATTTTCATGTAATCGTTTTGTGTGAAACATGAAAAGTCTGTTCTTTTTCTTCTTCTCATCATTTAAATTCAATTTTCCGCTCTTTACCAATTGCACGCTTTTCCTCCATTTAATAAACTTGAACAATTGGATCGGCATTGTCAAATAGTAATTAACAGAGAATAGCAAAAGATTGCGTCTTTCAATCACATTTATCTATGGTGACAATCAATATCAATGGTAATATCACAACAAATCAAATTTAAAATGTCATTTTGGCTTCAATAAATTGGACTCACTTTGCATCATCTTACTGAAGTCAACCTGGCAAGACAATGAGGCAGATTGGGATAACAATAATGTAATAACATGGGATCAACTTTTTTCTTTGGGTAAACTTTTCTTTTGCTCTCCTCACATTAATGTTTATTCACCAATAGTTTAATAATACCGTCGAAATGGTGAAAAAAATGTAAAGGCGACTTTTGTTCCCTTCTTGGTGTCAATCATTTTCATCATCATTCTCATCATGACTTTAACCCTGACTTTTAATACGCAAACCCAAGTGTTGACAAGCATAATCAATCCTTTATACATGTGTCTTG